CTTAGGTCCCTGCCATTTTGGTCCTTTATCATGCCCATCTTTGCATGAAACGTTCCCTTCATATCTCCAATTTTCTTGAAGAGATCTCTAGTCCTCCCCATTCTATTGTTTTCTTCTATTTCTTTGCACTGTTCATTTAAGAAGGCATTCTTATTTCTTCTAGCTATTCTCTGGAATTCTGCATTCAGTTGGGTGTATCTTTCTCTTTCTCCCTTGCCTTTCGCTTCCCTTCTTTCCTCTGCTATTTGTAAAGCTTCCTCACACAGCCATTTTGCGTTTTTACATTTCTTTTTCTTTGGGATGGCTTTAGTTGCTACCTCTTGTACAATGTTGCAAACCTCCATCCATAGTTCTTCAGGCACTCTGTCTATCAGATCTAATTCCTTAAATCTATTTGTCACCTCTACTGTATATTCATCAGGGATATGACTTAGGTCATACCTGAGTGGCCTAGTGCTTTTCCCTACTTTTTTCAATTTAAGCCTAAATTTTGCAACAAGAAGCTCATGATCTGAGCCACAGTCAGCTCCTGGTCTAGTTTTTACTGACTGTATAGAGCTCCTCCATCTTTGGCTGCAGAGCACATAGTCAATCTGATTTCTGTGTTGACCGTCTGGTGATGTCCATGTGTAGAGTTATTACCATTGTATTCTCTTGACAGAATTCTACCAGCTTGTGCCCTGCTTCATTTTGTACTCCAAGGCCAAACTTGCCTGTTATTCTGGTTATCTTTTGGCTTCCTACTTTAGCATTCCAATCCCCCATGATGATAAGGACATCATTTTTTTGGTGTTAATTCTAGAAGGTGTTGTAGGCCTTCATAGAACCGGTCAACTTCAGCCTCTTCAGCACCAGTGGTTGGGGAATAGACTTGGACTATTGTGATGCTGAATTGTTTGCCTTGGATTCGAACTGAGATCCATCTCCAATCCATTTTGGAGATTGTATCCCAGTACTGCTTTTCCTGCTCTTTTATTGACTATGAGGGCTACTCCATTTCTTCTGAGGGATTCTTGCCCCCAGTAGTATACCTGATGGTCATCTGAATTAAATTCACCCATTCCTGTCCATTTTAGTTCACTGATTCCTAAGATGGCGATGTTCAGTCTTGTCATCTCGTTTGACCACATCCAGCTTGCCTTGATTCGTGGATCTTATATTCCAGGTTCTTATGGAATATAGATCTTTGCAGCATCGGAGTCTGCTTTCACCACCAGATACATCCACAACTGAGTGTCCTTTCGGCTTTGACCCAGTCGCTTCATTCTTTCTGGCGCTACTAGTACTAGCCCTCTGCTCTTCCTCAGTAGCATATTGGACACCTTCCAACCTGAGGGGCTCATCTTCCGGCGTCATATCTTTTTGCCTTTTGGTACGGTCCATGGGGTTTTCATGGCAAAGATACTGGAGTGGGTTTCCATCTTATTATATATGTTTTAATTTTCCCTCAGATATTTCATGTCAAATACCTGTGGCATAGCGGGATAAATAATAGCATGCCATACTTGTATCATTATTGTTTTTTTAGCTTGTATTTAGTAAATATGCTAAATTAGATTACTCTCTAGTGATTTTCCAATCCAGTTTGAAAATGTTCCAGTGCAAATGACCCTGCACAAATTAGCCTAAGTTCTGAAAAACCAACATCACTGCCTTCTGGGCAAATAGCATCTTTGTATGAATGGTTTTTGCTGGGAAAATGGTGCTTGGTGCCTAAATCCTACTCATACACATTCTTTGCAAGTCCTACTCAAAGGTTTCTGTCCAACATTAATGTCAAATCATGTATCATTTACAGTTTGCTCTATTTTCTCATAATAAATTGCGTATATGAATTAACCCATATTTAAAAATGGGTAAGAGAAAGTTATTTGTGGAAGATTTGGACAGATAAGTTGATTTTTTTTACCTTAGTGGATCCTGATGATGAAAGGTTTTCTTTTCATTTTTCACTCTTAGTTTTGCAATCTGTGATTGATGGCATTACTTACAGTTGTAACATTTGTTAAAATCTAGGTTTGGCCCTTTCATTTTATCAGCTTCACAGTTTCCTTTGCTATTGGAAGCACTTATTCTGGTTGTTAAGTCTTACTTGTTTGTTTATTATATTTATATCCCTCCTGTTTTCATGCAAGGAGCAAGGGTGGTTTACATAACCTTTCCTCTCCTCTGCATTTTATCCTCAGAACAACCCTGGGTGGTAGGTTAAGCTGAGAATCAGTGCAAAGTCACCAAGTGATTTTCATAGCTGAAGTTGGACTAGAACCCAAATCTCTTGAGTCCCAGTCCTAAACTCTTAACTATTAAGGCACACTGTTTCTCTCTGATCCATGTTTAGAAATATTTATACGTGAATAAATAGAATCTTGACTTGGAATGGAATAGGGAATTGGACTGTCCTCTTTTGCTTAATCAGTGGATCATTTTTTCATGTTTGTACCAGAAACGTCAATGGATTCAGATGTTTCTGGCACAAAAACTTTTGTGTTTATTAGACTCTACAATACCTCTAAGTTGTGTAAGTTTTCAAAGCGCTGAATATGTTCTGGCAATGTCCAATGCCTAACTTTTTTAAGGGAGAGAGGACTTTATACAGATAAGCTGGGTATTAGAATGTTCTTCAATATTCACTGATGCTTATGTTCTCTTAAATTAAATGCAAAGATAGAATAAATGGATTTTCCATGTTCTTTTGTCAGCTAAACATCACTGGAAGATAAACAACCACCTTCAATGTCACAATCAATTGAACATTTAACAGCATCTTCAACATTTGAATAGGCAGTATTTATCCATCTACAAATGGATAAATATATGGATATTTCATTGGTTTTTCTTCATGACTATGCATGATTGTTTATTTTGAGAGCTGTTTTTTCACATATACATATATATGCATAGGTGCATATTTCACATACAGTTATTGTAAATGAGTTGTTTCAATCTATGTAAGGAAATTGTATTTTTGTTATAGTTTTGTTTTATTGAAATTTACAAATAAATTTGATGAAAAAATCAATGTGAAATTAACCTTTTAGATTAAGAGTACTATTTATATATGTATTTACTTACAATATTTATTGGCTGCCTATAAGAGAATTCTCCCAGGAACTTACACCAAGATATCAAACAGTTTAAAATGCAGTTACAGTGAAAGCAAGAATCAGGTAGCAATCCTACAGCCACTAGATGTTATCTAGACAGCTAAGGAAGAATTCTGAGTCTCAGCTCAAGCCTTGGAAAGTCAGTCCAAGGTCTGAGCAGGAAGCCTGAATTGAAGTGCCCTCTCTCCATCCTTGCAACAGGTGTAGCAAGAATCATGATTCCATGGGCACAATACTGACCTTGGAGGCCGTGGCTATGCTCACACACGAAGCTCAGCCAAGCCACACGATTATCACTTGGCATGGCAACCAGTGTTCACACATTCGTGTGGTGACTACTCATGCATGGTTTCCAAATGTTCCATCCTAAATGATGACATGTCTGCACTGCTGCCTGCTCCACCTGTCTCTCCCCATTGCACTGAGTGCTCCTTGGGTGTGTTCTTAGCGGGCTGTTTCTGCTTTTGTTGTGGTTGTTTTCCGCTCTGTGGAACTACTGTCTACTCATTAGAGTACGACAGTTACTCTAGGATCAATAGAGTGGCGTTCCCACTGCAGCCACACTCATGCCCACACACACTCACCCCCACCCCCATTGCATTGCCTGCAGCTCTCCCCCATCTGCAGGATTTGCACATGCTGCTGGGGCTGCCTGCTTCCAGCAGACTCGGAAGGTAGCAACTTGGGTACTGGTGTCAGGTCTGTGGCCCGACTTCCCTGGCAGTTCCCGGCTGGGGATCTGCCAGCAGGCTGTTGGGAAGGCAGTGGGGCTTATGAGAAGACCTCTGGATTGTTAGGAACAGTGGAATCGGGGCAGCAGGCAGAACAGGAGACATGGGCTCCCTGAGATGCTCGCACTGGTGGCGAGGCCTCGTGGCCTCAATGCCAGCACAAGGCATTGACCAGGCAGGTGTCCCACACAAGGCTGCCTGCAGGGCCACTGCTGCTGGGGGGCTCCCTGTCCTCCCTCTGCACATGCCCCCTGCTTCCTTACTCCCCTTTGCCACCATGCCCACCTTGCCTCACCTGCCTCATTGTCTCACCTTGCTAAGACGCTCATTTTGCGAGGCCTTGCCTCACCCTGACGGCAGCTTCACCTCACAAGCCCTTGACACAATGCCAGCTCCACCTTGCCAGGGCACTGAGGCCTTGCAAAGGAGACATGGAGGACATCTTGCGAAGTAATGGGGCAAGTGAGCAGAGCGGCAGGTTTTCAGTGAGGCTGGCGTTGAGGCAGGGTGCCTGTGCAATGGGGAGTGTATTCTCAAAGGGAAGACGGCGCATGGAGACAGCCACCAGCACCCGGCTGCCAGCAACTCAGCAGCTGCCAGGCAGAACAAGACAACTGAAAGGGGCAACTGGAGCTGCTGCTGCTGCAGCCACTGCTCTTGCCGCCAAACTCACTGGAAAGAAGGGAAACTCGAGAAAAAACCTGGCAACTGCTGTCACACATAGCAACAAGCAATGCTGAAACGTGGAAACCTTGGGACACAGACTGTAGGTTCTCCATGGGGATTTGTGGTAAGCAAATGCTTGCTGAATTCACTCGCAAGGAAAAACGATCTTCAGCATGGTTTGTTATGTGTGAGTGCACCCAGTGGCTAGGGATCAGAAAGGGGAAGAGACAAGTTCTGACAGCATAGGTGGAGGTGGTACCATGCCTTCCTTCCTCATGCTCTGGTAGAAAACCAGAAGGTGGCTGAAATGGACTGTCCAAGCATTTTGTAGGATGGGAAAAGTGTGTGCATTTTAGCTTCTGTAGGATGTCTGCAGTTTTCCAAGTTCAGAGAGTTAGAGGCAGCCTCATTTGCTTGTGCTGAGAAAGTATAAAAGCAGATAAAGACAGTAAACACACACACACACACACACACACACACACACACACACACACACACAGAACCTCCAATGTGGAAAAATTACAATATTCAAGATTAGAATAGTGAATTTTCAGCAAATATAGTAAAAATAAGCATGTTTCATGCCCCACATAGCTTGTGTATCCTTCAACCAGCTATATTCTCCACCACTGATACTTGAAAATCTTCTACAAGCTAAATGGCACTACCAGGCCATCCAGGCCCAGTGCAGCCCCTTTCATGAAGGAGCAGTCTATCCATGCCTGCTAGTCGCAATGAGTATATACAGCCTCCAAGATCAGAAGAGGTGGGCCACAGAGTGGCGGTTGCTAGGGAACAATGGCAGGAAGTGGGGATTGTGGGCTTTCCAGAAACATCTGCTTGACCTGTGGGAAGCAGCATATTGGCCAGAACATTCACAGCCTCTGGGCCACTGGCCCCAAGTGAAAGAAATGTCACAGGCACCATCACAAAATGGCTGCTATGGGCTGGGTGCCTATTCATAAAATGGCTGTCATGATGGCTGTTAGCGAAACAAACGAAAATCACAGAAAGCCATGCTAGTGATGTTAACAAATCACTTACAAGCTGGCAGTGGGTAAGAGACTAGCAAAAGATGAAATCCCTCTTTTGAGCCCCAGTGATTCATTTCTCTCTATCTCAAGGTATCTCTCTATCTCCAAATACTTAATCTCGCACACACAGGTATACATGCCATTCCCACTTTTGCCCACTGTTGGGTTTGCCACACAGGCCTCTGCACCCTTTGCTCTCCACAGCCCTTTCCTGCTTCCTCTTCCCCCGATACGGCAGGCCTCTTGCCTCAGCCTCCCACCTCCCAGCGGTGGGCCTGTCCCTTTCCACAGGGGTTGGAGAGCACCCCAAAGCAGAGCCCTGGCTGCCATCTTTACCCCCAAAGCCCATCTCTAGGTTTGTGTGAGTAAAGGTGGCAGGCTGCTCGAGGCTCGCACCTCACTTCCACCCACTGGAAAAACACAGAGCAACCTCAGGCATGAGTCGGGCACCTGCCTGCCCCAGAACAGGCCTTTGGTCTGCTTCAGCAAGACTCTTCCATTACCTTGAGCATTTGCCTACATGAGCTCCACCCCGGAGGAGGTGACATTCTCAGCATCCGGAGTTTTCTGCTTTCCTGCAGAGAAAGAGAGCGTCAGAGTTTTCCAGTGTCCTGGGAAATCCATTGTCTCTCTCCCTCACCACCTCTAGGAAGTTTCCTAGTATCATTTGCCCTATTTCGTATTCAGCATCAACTGTCTATTTTTGCTATGCCTTAATTTTTAACCTGTGTGCTAGCTCCTCGACACATGCATGCATTTTGGGGTATATTTGCCATAACTAGTAGATGGGAAAGCCCTTTGAAATCTGGCAAGCGGGCACTTGCTGAGTCACATCTTCGGTCCATTCTGCTGAAAACTGTGTACTTGGAGCAGGCGGGGGGGGGGTGGAATTTTTTGAGGGGGTCTCTTTTTTAGAAGCACTGGGTGGCCACATGGATGCCGAGGAGAATGCGGTTGTCCGGCATAACCGTGCAACTGAAGACCTTGGGGCCGACCATCAAGACATTGATTTGTATTTGGGGTGCTGTTCTGCCTACGGAAGAGAACTGCTGGTTAGGTAGATTTCTGCTGCCCTCTGCAGGCCCCGTGCACGGCCCACAGCTCCTTCACACCCTGCCTTCCACGGCAGATGTGGGCCCCGGTGGAGGCTGCCGGGGAGACGAGAAAGGACAGAGAAGTCCCGTTGCGCGAACGGACGGCCACTCGCAGGAGGCTCGCATCCAGGCCATGCTGCCCAACCATCTGAAGGCAGCTTCCGCTCACCCTGGCATGCAACGGGCACCTGCATGCCTGTAACCCTCTTTCCCCTGGACAGCCAAATAAGCTCTTTACCAGTGCAATGCGGATTTCCACGGACTTTAGTGCCCTTAATCATTGTGCCGTTTTTGTAGACACACCAGCAGTACCCAGTGCCGCCATGGCATTGCTCGGGCAGATAGTCACCATTTTCATCACAACGGGCACAGAACTTTCCTGGGTGGACGCCCTCAACACACTCCTCTTCCCGGCAGTTGCATTTAACTTAAATTAGAAAGAAAAAGGCGTGTGAGCTGCAGTTGCTTGCTTGCTGCTGCCAGTGTCCGTCAGGGGCGTCTCAAAGAGCTGCCAACGGCCACCTTACCCACACACGGCGTAGGAGAAGGAAGTGTGCAGCACAAGGGTGGGGAGCCTGAGCCCCCCAGATGCTGCTGGGCTCTCGCTCCCATCAGCGTCAGTCACCAAGTGTGATCCAGCTGGAGGCCCACAAGCTCCCCAGTCTGATGCGGAGCATTGCGCATTCAGCAAGAGCTGGGGCGAAGCTTTCCCCGCACTGCTGGGCTTCAGGCAGCAAAATGGTGCCTGCACATAGACAACTAGCATCTCAGGGAGGAGAGTTCAACAGAGCGTTTGCCTTGACCTGCTACATTTCTGCATGCAGAGCATATTTCAGATGGGGCAGGTGCACACAAGCACATGGCTGCTTTTTGACCACACACATTAATAATGTGAAATGGGCTAGTCCAGGAAAAGTTTTCCCTTTTGCTTTGGCTGAACATATAAATTGCCCCTTAATATAAAAATGGGCTGCTCCATTATGGCTGCACCGTGGGAGAGGAGAGGGGTAAGGAAAGTATGCTTTTTGTAACAATATGCCAGTTTAATTAGGACGGCTATTTTATAGGGATGGCTCCCAGGAAAGCCATTTAGCCAAATGAGAGCAAATGCTAATGAGTGCTGCTTAATGGAGGCAGTATTAATATAAATTCTGCTAATGGGGATGTGTCCGACCACTGCTGAGTGGCTAATTGGTATGAAAATTTCAGCTGCAGGCTTTCATTTCAGAAACCTTTGAAATCACAGATGGAGGAAGTGTTCTTTTGAAATTTTATGTTTGGAACAGAAAAGTTGTTGGCCACGTTGGTGTCCAAATTCGGGATCTTTAATAAGTCTCAGGGGGTGGGGATGGAGGGCAGCTGTTGAAATTCTTATAATGTTTCACTGGGTGTCTATCTGCCTATGAAATGGGCCTTAGCTTTTCCTGATTCCAGGTTCTGCACAGGTGCAACCGCCCATATTTGTGACGCACAGAGGCCGCGAAGAAGAGCAAGAAGAAGCGTTCCTTCCTTCAGCACGGCTCCACCTTTGGCTTGGAGATGCTTTAAATGAATTACCTTTGCCAATCCTGCTGAGTGCATTGCTCAACCCTGTGACTTCCCTGACCCTGCTTTCTTCTGTGGTGCCCTGATGAGTGGAGAGAGAGAGAGACTGCAAAGCCAGTGGCTGCCTATAGTACGGGGCATCAGTAATTTCAGGTTCACCACCCTGTGCAGCGGTGTCTCCTTTGAAGAGCCTGCAAGTGGCCTTGCGCTCAAGCGGTCCTCAGCATCAAATACGTAGCCACAGCAGAGTGGCCAAAGTCGTGTTCCCAGCTACAAGAAAATGTCTATTTTAATGCCACATAAATAGTCTTTTGACTTGCCGCCCATAGCAATAAGCGATTTGTTTTAAAGGTAACCAAGATGTGCAACAAACCACAATATAGAAACGTAGCCTTGTGTGTAGCCTCAAGATCCAGAGGCTGCGGTGAGGCCTCACTGTGTCATCAATCCCACAGCGGTACTTCCAACAGAGTCTGTCTGTTAGCCTTGCCATTCTCAGGCTAGGGCAGAGAAGAGCCCAAGCAAGGACTCCACAGAACAGATCTCAAAGGACATAGAGGGCAAGATGGGAGAATCGCTGCTATGGATCCACCCTGGGCCCAGGCCGTATGTAGGTCGCCTTGAACAGGGCCCAGAAGGAGCAGGGTTGCGAAGGCAGATGAGATGAGCCCAAAGAAACCTAATACATTGTGCCCATATGATGAAGCCCTGCTGATTACATGGAAGAGATTCAAGCAGATTTTTTACTCTTCCAGCTTTTCAAGGGGTTGGATCATTGTCCCATGTTTCAAATAAAATCGTGCTGGTCCATGAATTGTACAGGACCATGTGCTCTGGTACCAGCTTTCCAGAGCCACCTGGAGCTATAGCTTTCCAAAATGCGCTGCAGGGCCAGATCCAGGCTGAACAGTTCATGCAAGGAGGCCGACAAGCCCAAGGAATCGTGCCTGACTTCCATCAGACAGCAAGAACACTGGCCTGGGGTGGTCTTGTGGGTAAGGCCAAAGAATGTTGGCTGGCCCCACTCCCCAAAGGAAAGCAAGCTATACAAGCAGAGCCTGGGGTTAGCCATTGATCAGACTTGCACTGAGAAATGACCTAGGGAGGACAAAGCAGGAGAGCATCATAGCCTTTGAGTGAGGGCAGGGCCTCAGCTTCCTGGAGAAGGGAGCCATACATTGGCTTAGATCCAATGCATGGTGAGCAGTGTCTTGGGCAAGGACAGGGCCTTCCTGATGCCACCTCCCCACCCCAACCCAGAGGGCCTCCGAAAAGCTGCTGCGGAAGCAAGAAGTTGGGAGCAATGGTAGAAGCCCCTCTGGTCTGAGAAGTGTCTGCGCTTGTACGAGGGCCCTTCTGGAGGCAAACCCTCGCATGGGACATGGGGATGTGGCCCCAAAATGGCACAGTGGTGTCTCTCCCCTGGTAATATGTCACTTCCTTGGCTTGATGTCCTCATATCTTCATATTATGTATTCCCAGTTGTGCACATTGTGTTACACGTGGTCAAAGGAATGGAAATGTGTGATGATTACACAAACGAACGGATCATCGCATCATACAGTAGAAGCACTGCTGGGTTCCAAAAACTTGCCTGACATTTCTAACATACCTTTGCCTTTGGGAGTCTCAGTTTGGGCCAACTGGAAGAGAAGCCACTTGTGCATCCAGTTTTCGAAAGCCTGCAGAAGACCAAATATTGTTCATAAAAGGCATCTTTATGAGTGATTTTAAATAAAACAAGTAAAGCCCATGAAATTTATAATTTCTAAACACCGAGGAAGCCATCTTAGGCTCCTGGTGAGGAGTTCTGAGGGACCTACAGAAGTCCATTTCTGTCAGGGGAGAGGGAGGACCCCCAGCGCAGTGGCAAAGAGCTGAACCACCCGCACTGTCCCGAGGACAGAAGGGAGCAGACTGGTGGCTTTTTAGGGGAGGACATGGACCTGCAGGTGCCCTCATGACTACATCTGCCCCAGAGCCACCACTGATGATTCCTTCTCATCTGCCCAACCTTGCAGCCAGGAGCTAGTAGGGCTTGAAAAGCAGAGGCCACTCCAGCACCCAGGCAATAAGGTTGCTCCACCCTCCATAAAATTAAAGATATCTAATTGTTAAACCACCACTATGAGATCCACCTTATTTTAGATTGGCAGTATGGACACCAGTCTATATCATACGCCATTGGTTGAAGGTCTTCTGTATGGTTTAGCCAATTTTAACTAGACTAGAAAACCTGAGTCTTTGCTACCCATTCTCAGATACAGCTGGATGTTTAGCAGGTGGAGCAGAAGCCTCTCCTGGTCCAGAGACACATGGACCATCCAGTCCTACACAATGGAGAGTATTTGAAGGGGTCAATGCATACGGCAATGGGTATGTGTGTTATACCTCCAAAACTCTCTTAGCGTTCCATTGCACATGTCCTACCAAGAAAAGAAAATAGAACCTGCCCCCTTGTTAATCTGTGAAATGAATATTGTATGTTGGCTATATTAACGAGTTTTTTCTACAAAAACATATGGGTGACAAGTGTGAACATTCCTAAAAATAAACAATTGTTTTAAAATGCTTTATTTGGTTTTGGGTTTAGCCCCTTAATTGCTAGACTCTAATCAACTTAGTTTTTTTACCTGTTGACTGTATGCCCTCTTTCTCATGGTCTTTTCAGGACACCATCACCTCTGAGCTTAAGAAGAAAGAGCTGAGATCCCTACAAACTCACAGGTTCCCATGGGAGCTGGTCCCAAGGAAATAGAGTCTGTGATGCGAAGGCAAGGAGCCAGGGCTGCTCTGAACTGGAAAGCACTTCGAGCACATGAGAGCTCTCCTCTGTGATACTCGGTTCTCTCAAAGGCATCAGAGAAAGGAGAGCCCTGTGGGGTTCTAGCAGTGATGGAGGCACTTACATTCCAGTCCTCATAACCCAGGTGTCTCCTCAGCTGATTCATGTTGTCCAGGAAGTCTTGCTTCAGTTCAGGAAACTTTCTTGAAGGGTTTCCACGCTGTTAGGGAGAAATATATCAGCAAAGGATGCATATTGCAGGAAACTAAAAAAGAGAACACCCGGCACACACCAGTTTTGCTCAAGCAAGACTCAAACTTCAGAGGCTTCCTTTGTTTAGACGGTAGGGCACTCCTGGACCGTTAACACAGAGAAAGGACTACTTGATCTTGGTATTTCGACCAGATAGAGGAGCAGAGAGGGTCACTAGATTTGGCAGTGACAGACTTGTATGTTAGAACTGGGTTTCCATCATAGTCTTGTAAGATTAGGTCTTGATTTAAGGGGCAAACGGTGCCGATGGGAAGGGTTCTGGCCCTCAGAGGGCCTCCTCTAGCAGCTCTCCTGCCTCAGTGGGGCTTCATATCCCCACTGATATCCCCACGTGAGTTGCTGTGTTGTGCACTGTATGGTTGATTATGCTGTTTATGGATTTTATCATGTTGTAATCCACCCAAAGAGCCTATGGCTAGTGGAGTGGCATATAAATCAAATAAATAAATTAAATATTGGGATGGAACTCCTCACTGAAGAAGAAGAGCTGGCCAAAGCGGCTGCAGCAAGGACTGAGGATCCAGCATACATTTCCCCTACTCCTTTTGTACCTGATATTGCCTACCCTATACTACTCTATAGGGATTTGGTACAACTCATGTTTTAATGGATAGATTATAGTGTCATAAAAGGCCATTAGAGCATGAGCCTGGAACAAGAAAGCAAAGAAAACTATTTACCTTTCTGAAAGGTTTGGAATAATTATTTGCAGCATGGACTTTATTGATTGATTGATTGATTGATTGATTTATATCCTGCCTTTTTCCTACAACGGCTCAAGGCAGCTTACATTATTCTCCTCCTCCCTCTTATCCCCACAACAACAACCCTGTGAGGTAGGTTGGGCTGAGAGTCTGTGACTNTTGTAGGAAAAAGGCAGCTTACATTATTCTCCTCCTCCCTCTTATCCCCACAACAACAACCCTGTGAGGTAGGTTGGGCTGAGAGTCTGTGACTGGCCCAAAGTCACCCAGTTGGCTCCATGGCCAAACGGGGACTAGAACCCAGACCGTCTGAGTCCCAGTCCCAGGCTCTTAACCACTGCACCACACTGGTTCTCATATCTCCCCATGTCTAAGCTTTTGTAGTCTAAAATTCCTTATTCTAGCAGGTCATCTTGCTCAGCATTGCCCACATAAAGAGCAGCCTGGTTTTGCGAAACTTGAGGTCATCCAACAGTTTGGCCTGCCCCTTCCAAGGTCATTTGAAAGACTTAACACATGCAGTATTTATCTGCCTTCCCCAGAAAGGGGTAGATTTTCAGAATATCTGTGCATCAGTGCTGGGCACACTTCTCCATCCATGCGACTGCCAGTCAGGATGCAAAGCCACGGCAGGCACATAAGTGGAGAAAGGGCACGGGTAGCTGCACGTCGCTCTGCTGCTCCCGCTGCTGATGAGCCGAGCTGGTGTGCAGTGGAGCAGGCGTGAACAAGCAGGGTGGAAGCAGCAGAATGCTGGCATCTTCCTCAGGCTTCTCCCCATACACCTCCTCACTCTGGCTGCAGCCTTGACTATATCCTATTATCTACAGCCAGGCAAGGGGCACTGCCAGTTCCCCTTGCTGACAACAAACATCCATCCATCCTTCCAGCCAGCCAGCCAGCCAGCCAGCCAGCCATCCAACATGGGGCAAAGCAGGGACAGTTCTGAACATGAGGGACTGGCCAGAACATCAAAGCTCAGGTCTGCCTTGTGCGACTTCTGCCTCCAGAAATGAATCCATAGCTTTAAGTGGAGTACTAACAGCCCGTGTGAATCACTGTGCATTGTCATGCGGCTGTGCACCCAGCGCACTGCAGCACTCACCAGGAGCACACGTTTGACCTGGTCTTCAGTGCTGTTGGTCAGCTTGGCTTCCTCTTGCAAAGACTGCAGAAGAGATAACAATATGGAAGTTAAAATCTGAAGTAGCTAGAAACAGCTTCAATTTCTCTTGAGTTATTACAGTAAGGACTGGGATACTTCTAATTCTGGGGGCAAATTAAGCCATTAAGCACATATATTCACAACAAACATGAATTCATTCTCCCCAGTTAGCTCCAGGAAATGGAACTTTGCAAGGTGTGGTCTAGGGAGCAGTTCAATGAGGATTGTCAGCTCTCTTACAAAGTCAGGATTCTTCAGAGGAAGCCATTGATAAGTAGGTGTAGTAAATAGCAGCATGCAGGTTCAGGATAGGAGCTCTGGCAAGGGAGTCTGAATCCAAAAAAATAAGCATATAGAGAAAGCCTATAGAGAAGCCCAGTGCTCTAAAGCCACTGTCGTGGAAAGAAACTGTCTCCAGAACTTGATTTGAGACTGGACTAGTCTGTCTCAATCTAGTGTCCTCCAGCCCTTCTGAACTACATTCCTATCATCCCCAGCCAGTACAGTCATTGATGGAGTGATGGGAGGAAGGCTTGAGAAAGGCTGCTGAAACGCCTAAGATGTCTTTGCAAAGCTTGCATAAGGCCCAAGGACTGGAGAAATCACACGATGGACAGGACAACTTATTTTTGTACCAACTGCCTGGTGGGAAGGGAGAACCAGAAGACACAGAGGATGGCTGCCCTCCCTATGTACCTGCCCATTACCGTCTTGAGGTTGCAGCAGGCATAACTCATGCATTAAGAAGTGAGGTTACAACAAGGCAGTATCCACACCTGACCCCTCCAGTCTACAGGTTAAGCCCTTATCACTTCTTGCCGTGCTTACCTCAGGGTCTCTCAGAGCCAGCGGCATCATGTTGACCATGCCCATCTTCATCTGGTTACCTGCCTTAGATTCTGTGGGAGAAAAGAGTGCTGGAAATAATCTTGGGAGTGTCAAAGCATGATCTCCATTGGGACAGTCTCCTCACAGGGATGAGCCAAACCCAGGAAGGGAACAAATTGTTTTGCACTTCGGTGCTACCACCAAGAGAAACGCCTGCAGCCCACCACCCCCACCAGCCAATGGGTGCCCCAGTGGGCTGTTTTGGCTTATTCTCTTTGAAGAAGAGACCCTCTCCCATTGCCCATTACAAAGTGCTTCCAAAAACTTCTCCCTCATCATCAAATTTCCCCCTGAAACGCAGTCCCAAAGCTCAGATGGGATCCCGAAAATGAAGAGAAAACAACGTGCTACTCACTGTGTGGGAGTTTATTGGCCAGTGAGTCAAGCTGCAGTTCCTGGGTGTTCTTGGTCAGCTTCGAAATCTGGCCATTATGCTGATACACAAAGTAGACAGTCACTGCCTGGCCAGCAATCAGCAAGGCCGCCAGGATAGAAAAGGCACTGTAGGTACTGCCACGACCGCAAGAACTGCAAGATACAAGACAGACACATCGGTGCTCATTCACCTGTCCAAACACCGTCTTTGCCACGGAATTATTTGCACAGCCACCAATTCATGGGCTTGTGTTTTACTTACTATCGGTAACGCATGTCAGCCTGCTGCATACGGGAACCCTCCTCTGTATTCCTCTGAGCACACCCTGCACATCTGCCCCAGAGTCCTGCCCTCAGAGAAGAACCACATGCCTCCCCAGAATACATTTTAAAAGTCACAGACAAGAGTTAAAAAAACAGAGTTAAAACAGAGTTTTAAAAAATCAGCCCTGCAATGCAAAACTGTAAGAGTAATTCTTTAATAAAATAGAGAACAAGCTGACATTTGCTTGTCACTATGATGATGATATTTTTCCTCTTGTGGCAGCTTACATAGTTCCAGTTTATCCTCAAAACAGCAACCCTGTGAGGTAGGCTGGGCTGAGTGACTAGCTCAAGTCACATGGCTGAGCAGGGACTAGAACCCAGATCTCCTGAGTTCCCAGCCCAAGAGTAAAGCATCACACCACACTGGCTCTCATCTCTGTCACCACCTGGATTGTGCCCCTGATTTCAAGAACTATCCCTTTTGCCAGTTCACTTGCCATGTGCTAAGAAAAAATTCTGCGCACTTCTCAAGAAGCCATTTGAGCAAATTCCCAAGCTGTAGCCAACCATAGCCAGCTTTGCTGGCGATGTCATATGTTGCTAGGCAGACAGAACTTGAGCGTGCCGGTGAAGACGTGTTTGCATGATAGGCTTTAAGCTACACCAACTGCCCTGTTTGCTTTACATGTACCAGAACTAAAGTATTCTTTAAATAGCCCTTTTTCGGTTTGCACAAAGTATGGTTTAGTCTTGAGGAAGTCAGGCTGAGATATGCAAATGAACTCGCTTTGTCTTATTAATAGAAATGTATAAAACTCTGTTGGAAATCAACCCTCCTCCTCTGCCCTAGCCATGTATCTTTTTTTACAAGTAGCAGTGACTTTAGGAGACAGTCCTTTAAGGAAAAAGAGACAAAGGGGGAGAGAGAGGGGTACGTGGGCCTGATCCCTGGAGCCTTCAGGTCCCTGCTGCACAGCAGTTCAGGGCTTCACGCTGCATAATAAGCAGGAGGGCCCCTGAGAGCAGCGGGGGCTGTTTTGCCTTTTTTTTTTGGAAGTTTGAGAAGTAACACGCATTACAACCTAAAGAGGGGATCTTCCCCATAAGACCATTAAATCCACATTTCATGCATAGCTTGTAGCTGATTCTGATTTTATACAATTTCAGCACTAGCACCCCCACCCTCCGTATGGATTGGGACACCTAGTGGTAGGGCGAGGGATTCCACACACCCTCATTCCCGCTCTGCGTAGGGACTCGAGGAAGAAAAACACTGCGTTTCTTGCCTTTCTTTTGGCCCCACAGCAGGGTGTATGTGGGTGAGTTTTGGAGGTGAAGTGGTCGGGAAGGAAGTTTTAACCCATCTGTCTGTGGGTCGTCTTGATCAAGGTCCCAAATATTCACACCAAAAAAAAAAAAGTGCGGTTCAGCTGCACACTATGCATTTAATGCAGCATACAGCGGAGCCCTAGACTTGTTTTACTGCTCCACTGTTACAGGACTAGTTGTCACGCGTATTTTCCAGGACTTTCACGGGATTAAGGCATTTCAGCTGATTGATATGAGCTTTATTCCATCGACGGTTTAAATCTGTCGCGTCTGCACTTGAATAAAGCAACTGTTTCGAAGTAAAGGGACACCCTTCCTTTCTTTTTGGATGGCGTGTGCAGGGTGTGGTGCGTGATTTGCACCAAGCCTCTTCTACGCAGCTATTCAGGAAGGCAGTACAGCGTGCTTCGGATAAACTTGCGAACCGCATGCCTGTTCAGAGAGGTTCTGAAGAAGATTCAGTGTACTCGCTCCTGCGGCCATTACGCCTTGCACCCAACTGTCTCGTTGGTATTCTGTTGTGTGAGGGTGCAGCGAAAAAAAAATCAAGTGCCTTACCACCACACTATTTTGTAAATACCTGCATTCAGAACAATTTGTTTTAAAAATGAGTATCCAATCACGCAGGTCATTTTTTTTTT